AAAACCTTTGCAGATATAAATTTTGTTTTTCTTGGGGAAGCATGTGTATGAACAATAAGACATTATTTCTGGATTAACAGGCATTTTCTTGCAATGATTAAAACTATCACAATAAACGTTTTTGGTGTTAAGCCATCAGATTAAGCAGTAGAGGGCACTATTGACATAAACAGTAAGGCAGTGATATAAAGTATAATCCTGAGACCACATAATATAAAGAATATGTGAAATCTTATAGCAGCAAAAACCATTTACAAAAAAATTTTCTAAAATAAAATCATTTCCACAGCCTGATGGATAGCCCACTGATATAGTGCTCTGTTGATCTGATTACAATTAATTTTATCACCAAATAATTATGAACAAAGGATTTTTCTCATTTCTGTACATGAAAGAGACAGTTTAAACAAGTGACAGAAGTTGCTGCTGTCATATTATTATTCCATTCTTAAATTAAGCCTTCTTGACCTTCCCCATCTGTGACACAAGTTAAATTAGGTCAAAATTCTTGTTCCTAGATTAGAAACATTAGCCAGCATCCTACATTATATTATGCTATGTTACAATATAAGCAATATATTATATGCTACGGCATATATCTGCCCCCTCTAGGGTGTAAAAAGCAGGAAGGATGTCTTATCTAAGTTTTATATCTCTTCTAGCACTTAGTACTAAACTCTGTACATAGCCCCATGTAGAGAAAAGTGCCCTGGACTTGAAATCAGAGAGAGATAGGTTTAAATTCAACCTCTGACACTAGCTGTCTGACCATGGGTAATAAAAATTATAATTATAATAAATATATAATATAATAATATATATAACAAATATATATATATATATATAGTCCATAAAGGTATACAAAGTGCTTTTACAAATATTGTACTATTTTGTCCTCACAATATCATTGGGAGGTAAGTGCTATTATTATCACCATTTTACAGATAAGGAAACCAAAGGAGATAGAGATTAAGTGACTTGCCCAAGGTGACATAGCTACTAAGTGTCTAAATCTGGATTTCAATTCAGCTCTTCCTGACTCCAGGTCCAGTACTTTATCTACCACTCCACCCTGCTCCCCTTAGGTAAGTCTTTTAACCTCTCTAAGTCTCAGTTTCCTCATCAGGAAAATGGGGATAATAAAACCAAGGGTGTCTCCCTCTCAGAATTATGAGGCTTAAAAAAAAGATGGTGCCTGTGAAGTGCTTTGCAAGCTTTAAAGTGTTATATAAATGTCAACTATTATTATTAATAAATGTGTTAATAGGGTCATCAATTTAGAGTTTCAGTAGACATTAGAAGTCAACTAAAGCCAACTCTTTCATTTCAGAGAAATGAAAATTGAAGCTCAAAAAGGTTCAGTGATTTGCCCATAGGCACTTAGCTAGACAGTGACAGAGACAGGATTTGAACCCTGGCATCTGATTCCAAGCCAAGCACCGAATGAGGTCCAGCAGCAACAACAGCATGTATATAGTGCTTTAAGGTTTGCAAACCAATTTATAAATCTATGATTTTATCTTCACAATAACCCCTGGAAGGTAGTTGCTATTATTTCCCTATTTTACAGATGAGGAAACTGAAGCAAAAGTGACATGCCCAAAGTCTCACAGTAAGTGTCCGAGGCTGAATTCAAACTCAGGTCTTACTGACTCCAGGTCTAGTGCTCTACTGCCTGTACCACCTAGGTGCATAGTATATAACCTCTATGGTTCATGAGTCAGATACAAAGTATGATGGGATTCAGAGGAGGGAGCTTCTAAGGGGATGAGAAAAAGTTTCATGGAGGAGGTAGCTTTCAAAGGATCTGAAATACCTAATACCAAAAAAAAAAAAAAAAAAAAAAGCATCTCCTGAGAGGCAGCATAACATAGGGAATAGAATGCTAGGCTTAGAAGTCGGGAAAATTTGAGTTTAAATCCTGCCACTGACAATGTCTAGCTTTCTGACCCTCAATTTCCTCATCTTTAAAATGGAATAATAATGCTAATACTACATACCTCAAAGCATTGCTGTAAGACTAAAGTAAGCTAACTTTATATGTCAAGCACTTTGCAAACTTTAAAGGTCTGTATAACTGTCAGTTATTGTTACAATTCCTGTTGAGGAGCCTCGTCAGGGGCTCACTCCAGCTATCGTGTATTACAACCAACTGAGCAGGATGTGGATATAAGAAAATTGTAGATGCCTGGTCCAATGGGTACTAGAAGGCCAAGCTACCAAAGCCAGCATCAGGAGTTTAATCCCTACTTGGGACTAATTATCAGACTTCCCTTCCACAGACCACACCCCTAAACAGAAGGCCTGGCTACTGGAGGGAATACTAGATAATGAAGAAGAATTCTTTGGTCCTAGCTCCAGCTCCACAACTTACTATTTGTGGGATTTTAGGCAAGGTGTTTTGCTCTCTTCAATTCAGTTTCCTTATCTATCAAATAGGGATAATAATACCCACTATATATTGCTGCTAAGTGCTTCCAGCACTTAGCACAGTGGCTGGCACATAGTAGGTTCTTAAGAAACGCTTGTTGATTTGACTTTTTGACTAAGTCCCCCCACCCAAGATTAAATCACAGAATCTCAGAAAGGAAGGCCCCCCGAATACAATCCAGTCTTGTGCAGAAATCACTCAACACCCCCAAGAAGAGACACAATCTTTACCTCAAGATTTTAATGAGGAGGGAACCCATTCCCTGTTATGACTTTTACATAATTTTGTTAAGAAGTTTTTCCTGCATCCAACTGAGATCTGTTTCTCTGCAAGTTCTACCCATTCTTCATAATTCTGCCCTCTGGGGATGAAGAGAGTAAGTCTAAAGCAGGGGTGGGGAACCTGGCCTGGAGGCCACAGGTTCCCTATCCTTCAACTATCTTAACAATGACTCCCCTTTAAATGTTTCAGGACAGCTGTTGTGACCCTAAAGCCCTCTCTTCTTCAAATTAAAATATTCCCAGTCCTTTCAACCAACCCTAATATGGCGTGGTCTCCAGAATTCTAAACATCCTGGTCACTCTCCTCTGAATGCTCTCCTGCTTGTCAATACACTTCCTAAAGTCCCCTCACGTTACCACCAAACAATAGACAATACTGTAGATGTGTTTCTCCAGATGTGTTTCTTAGCCATTGGGCCGCACTTGAGGACCTAGAGGGCCACAGGCCTGAAGGCCACAGGTTCTCCACCCCTGCTCCAGGCTAAAATGTTCCCAGTTCTTCAACCAACCCTTACAGTTCTAGAGCCAACTCTTACATGGCGTAGTCTTCAATCCCCTTACCATTCTGGTCACCTTTCTTTGAATGCGCTCCAGCTTGCTACCACCCTTCCAAAAAGGTGACCCATAGAACTGACCACCACACTGTTGGTACATTCTGACCAGAGCAGAGTACAACAGGACATTAATCTCCCTTCGGGTAAACAGCCTGTCAGTAAGAGATTCAAAACCATGCCAGATGTGGTCTCCTTGGGGCAAACAAAATAATATATGAAAAAGTACTTTGAAAATGCTCAAGTGCTGAAGACAAATGTAAGGTCACTGAGACCATCCCACATCCATTCAGTTACAGAAAGAACTATGTAAAGCACTGTGATAGGACCTGCCTCAAACTCACTCCCTTTGCTGGAAAAATCAAGTCAAAGTGAATATTTCTGATAGTGAGTCAGCATTCTCTTTTCTATCTGTATAGAAGGGTACACATATGACCAGGTGGATCCCTAGGAGAAAGGAAGGAATGCAGCAGTTAGGACCAGGACACACATACACACACATACATTCCCACCTCATCTCCCCTGCCTCTCCCTTGCCAAACACTCACACTGGTGAGCAACAGAGCTAGACATACTGGGGCTTCGTTAAGGAGGTTGCCAGGCACCGAGTAACAGAGACACTGACGCAGCATGAAATTGGTACTGACACTGCCAATTTCCACTAACAGGAACTGGAGGATTCAGTGGGTAATTTCGAAAAACAAATTAATGTCTTGGAAATCCTGAGAAGGATGTTTTTAACTGTCATTCACACTGACAATGTGTTAATGGGAGGTTGTTTTGTTGCTGTTTTAATAGATACAGAGGGAGAATATTGGTAATAAACTGTTGGTATTTGAAGATTAGGTGAAAGCTCTATTTCTCAATTCATTTTCTTTTCTCATTTATACCCAGTCTTTTTTCAGTTCCTTCTCACAATCTGGCTCCGATTGCCTCAGTGGCTATAGTCATCAGGCTCTCTTCATTTTGAATAATCCTCTAATGAGATACACATGGCTAAATAACTCAAAAAAACTACAATGTCATATGAACCCTCTAGAAAGCTAAAAGTAGAGGACAGGCACCCAAGTGCTAAGCTAACTGCATTTGTATTGGGCCTTGTTTCCTACAGGGCTGATGTGTTTAAAAGGACTTTTTTTGGGAGTTGTAGTAGACCTGAATCTCTATAATAATGAATTCTACTATAATCAGATTCTACTCAGAACAGATTTCCCAATCCTTCTTTCTGTGTTTACTAAAAATAGATCAAATATCGCTTGAAATCTTAGCTGATGTAATCCCCGACACTGGGTACCTGACTCTAAACATTCTGGTCCCACATTTCATTTGTGAGCTTGCTAAAGTCAGCTGCTTTTTGTTTTTTTCTTAGAGAAGCCATCTGGGCCTCACAGTATTTTGGTGTCTTGCTCCACTGTGAGCCTCCCGGGCAGATGCCTGGCCTCCATCATGCATCATTCAAGAAAGTGGGCATTCGGCCACTCTATCTCTTCCTCAGAAGACCTCAGGTGCAAAAGCAGAGGGACTACCTCAGGGAGAGACTCAGGGACAGAGAGAGAGAGAATGGATGAAGTCCAGAAGCCCTGTTAGCTTGCAGATCCCAAATCTGACAGGAAAAAAAATCTAATTCATTGGTTTGGAGATAGAAAACTGTTTAGAGTACAAAAAGAAAGAAATCAGATTCTGAGGCTTTTCTCTTATTGCCCCCAAATTGAATGACTTTTTAAAGGTTTTACTTACCTAGCATTCCTTTGTTGGAACTGGATAGACACATGTCCTTCTCTGCACTGGGAAGGACAAAACCCACCACAAAAACTTCCACCCCATCAGCCATCAGGGCCAAACCTAAAACAAAAAAGAGCGTCCATTGGAAACGCCCATGACCACATTCCTCAATGATATTCTCATATTGGTGAGCCAGCTGCTCCTCGTCTTCCAAACGTTCTGCCATGAGATCTTTCTGGTCTCTGTAGTCATCAGACCTGGACGGAGATTTCTTCTTCTGCTTTGCCTTAATGTCATCTGGGTGGGGAATGCCCTGGTACTCCCCTTCATAGATTTCATCATCTTCATCATGGCCTTCAGTGGCATCACTCTGGGCATCTTCATCTTGGTTGGACTCATTTCCTCCCCGGTAATAGCTGTCATTGGGCATATACCGTTCATAATTGCCATCCTGATATCTATAGTCATCCATTCCTTGGTTCCTAGCCTGCCAATTTGCCTCTCTAGCTATATCCCTTGCTCCATGATAGAGATTTGCACTATTTCTATAACCATCATCCATTATAAGTGTATAGTTTAAATGCAGACTCCACACTGCGTCCACTGGTACTTGGAGATACCAGTTATATTTGTGTGATGACTTCTGCTAAAATTACACCAACTTCATTTCCTGAATAGACTGGATTTGCACAAAGAAAACCTCTGGAACTTTTTCAGGTCAGTTTCAGACAGAAGTCTCAAAAAAAAAAGTGTCACGCTTCAGTCTTGCTTCCTTCAAAAGCCACAGGAGCACTGTGTTGGGAGCTATGGATTGGAGATATATCTCCTGCTTTGCTTGACAAGGAGTTAGGAAGAGTTAGCAGATTACTTGGTTGTCTGATTCATTCTGTTGGTGAAGGTCACACCCTAGGAGAATGGGAAGAACAAGTATAAGAAAATTGTAAATTACTGCCCAAACACCCAATAAAGCAGACAAAGTACAATTCAAGAGCAATGAAATTCATGAAACAGGAAAACTTAATCTATTTATACCCCTCCCCATAAAAAGACCAGGACTGAATGAATATAAATGAGGAGGTGGAAGTTTAGGGGGAAAGAAGTTTAAAAAACTTCCTTTTTTTTTTTTTTTTTTGGTGAGGCAATTGGGGTTAAGTGACTTGCCCAGAGTCACCTAGCTAGTGAGTGTTATATGTCTGAGGCCAGATTTGAACTCAGGTCCTCCTAAACTCCAGGAGTGGTGCTGTATCCACTGCACCACCTAGCTGTCCCCTAAAACTTTCTTCTTGAAGAAGGCCAAATCTTACATGAAAATGAAATGAGTGATATCTTTTAATATATGGCTCTTTTTAGACCTTTATCCTGAGTGCCATGGACTTTTGAAAGGATTCCTATTTATCAACAAGTTTCTTGGAGAAAATGTCTATTTCTGTGCATTTATTAATCAGAGGCGATAGCCATGTCCACATAAGATATAGGAAAGTATATGTTCATGCAAACTATCTGATAGTTGAGGTTCACAGACTCCTCTAAATGCTGTTATTATTTCTCCCAGGATTTTTCTGTTTCTTAATAGCAAAGGTCTGGAAATAACCTTTCCTACATCTAAAGAATTTATATTACCGAGTTGGCTTAAAGGAAGGAAGGAAAGAAATAAACAATTACTAAATATCTACTACGTGCTAGGCAGCGTGGTAAGCATTTTACATATATTACCTCATTTGATCTTCACATCAACATTACAGTTGAAGAAACTGAGGTTTACAGAGATTGCCCAGGACTATACATCTAGTAAGTGCCTCAGGCTGAGTTTGAATTCAGGTCTTCCTGATTCCAGGCCTAGCACTCTATCCACTGCACCACCTCACCGTCTCTAAGGGCCACCATGGCATCATATTTTTGGAAATTGTGAAATACTATAATCTCTAAAACACTGAACATGAAACATGGTGAGAGTGAGCAAGCTATAACACGTTATAAACAAGAAATTATGAAGGAGAAGTAGTGTAACAAATATTATCAAATAAATGCATGAACAAAAAATAAAAAATAAGTTAGACTGGTCCTTTCATGAGAGTGAAGGAGAACCACTAATATCTTCCCAATGTCAGGAGAACTTTAAAAGGCCCTAAGCACAATGGATGGACCTGCCATGATGAACTTATTGAAGGACATGAACAAGAGTCATACGGTATGGACAGTCATGAGTGACTTGGAATCAGCATCATTGGGGAAAATACTCATGTTGACAGGATTACAAATGCATTGAGATACTGGAGACATCTTATGTTGGAATGCCATGAAAGCAACAGTACGTATTTTCCACAAGACTGGCATTCACACTAGCTTTTTTTATACTATACTCAAAGTTCTTCTATATATTTTTTAAATGCACATTTGTGTAATGCTATAAGGTTTGCAAAACACTTTCTTCATAATGAATATTATTATCTCATTTTACAAATGAGGACACTGAGGCTCAGAGAGGTTAAGTGATTTACCCAAGATCACACTGTTAATAAGTATATCAGGCATACTCAATTTGAACTCATATCTTCTAAATTTAATCACAACTGTGTGTGTATACACACACACACATATATAAAATTGTATATTCTATACATAATTTACATAGAATATAGAATTATATAATTATATATTTTATGTACTATAAATATTACATACGTACACTATACAGTGTTCTACTATATTATGCTACCTCTCAAACTCCAAACTTGAGGAGCTTACAATAAATAATAAAACTGGTTTGGATTATGAATCAGAAATATATGGTAGACAATATCAATAACTACAAAAGAGTTAGAGGACTATAATCATAAATCTGGCTATAGGTAGTCTGAGACTCTTCCCTTGAGAACTACCTGTTTATAACTTTAGACCACTGAACAATTAGAGAGCGGTTTTTATGCTTATCCCTGAAGACGAAGTACTAGAATTAAACCTATCACTAAAGCTACTATAAATTTAAAATGTTTATTCATTGGCTCAACCTGGTTTAACCCATCTGCCCAGACAATTTTACTGGGATGTGGCCGCTGTATATGCTACAGCTTCATGGAGCCCCAGGTGAGAGTTGGGTGAAAGGCGGACCCCAAAGGTGAATGAGCAGCCCTGAAAGGGGCTCAGCAAATAGCCTCCCTAAACACCCCATACACCATAGTGCACATAATACCTCCTTATCATTGCTAGGTGTGTGGCAGGGATTGGATGAATTAATGAACATGGACAAAATTTGAAAATTCTATACTTAGTTGTATATACTATTATCTATCCCATAGGTCTCTATAGTAGCCACAAAGATAGTGTGAAACAGTCTGTCAAATTTTTCATGAAAAGCTAAGTAAACTGTGTACACAGTAACTTCATGGTCAATCAGTCTAATAACCCTATTAAAAAAAAAAGAAAAAAACAAAAATGGGTCAGCTAGGTGGCGCAGTGGATAGAGCACGGTCCCTGAAGTCAGAAGGACCTGAGTTCAAATCCGGCCTCAGACCAAACACTTGACATGTACAAGCTGTGTGATCCTAGGCAAGTCACTTAACCCCGATTGCCTAACAAAAACAAAACAAATAAACAAAAAAGGAAGCGAGGTTAATCCAGCTGTTCTCTCTGAAGCCATGCTGTCTCATAGTGATCATTGCTTCTGAGACAGACTCAATGCAGTCAATCTTTTGCTCCTTAGCCACCCATTAAAAGATGTTAATATCTGAGATGACTGAGAGTGCACAATAATTCCTTTCAGTGCTGGCTGTTATTTATTATTTTCTCCCTGAATATAAAATGTATTATTGGCTCTCATTTGTTTTAGCCACCTGCTAAGACTCCTGAAATACACTGGGTGACGTCTATAGGACACTTCATATCAACACATGGTATGAAAATAGAATGGTTTATTTTGTTGGTTTGGAGTGTCAGTTACTTCTTTGGGACTGGCAAACAACAGCTTTCTCTGCACTACTTTCACTTGATATTATAACTCTATTTTTTTTTCAGTTGGAGTCATCCAACCTTTCACCACTTTGTTCAAGGTAGAAGAACTACGCTCTAAGACAATGCTAGGTTTGAAGTCAGAAAAACCTGGGTTTGAATCCTGGCTTGTATACTTACTAGTTATATGGGCATAGGCAAGTCATGTAACTTTTCTGTGTCCT